TCTTCCCTCTTTAAATTCAGAAGTGGCTTGGGTTTCTTTTGATAATCATGCCACCATAATTTAATTCTTATTTCCCTTAAATGGTAGACAGAGCTTTCAAAAGTACTGTATTACATTTTCACTCTTTTATTCTAAGTATTTATTTCACCAAATTGGATTTGGGGGAAGTAGAGAGTTACATGTTTATTGGAGAATTTTCAAAGTCTTCTCACTTTCTGAAGTTCACACTGTCAGTGTTTGTAAGGGGTGTCATTGCAGAGACGGGTCACAGCACAAGCTGTGCTCAGGTCACGGCCATCCTCCTGGGCTTCTCCTTGGCCACAACAATCCAGGGGTCACTGGGTGTCCTGTTCCTTGGGTTCACCACTGTCTCAAGTTCACAGGGGCTCCTTGTCCCTGGAGATGGTGATTACAATGGAGAAGCCATCCTGGGTCCAGGTAGCCAGCCCCACAGCTTGGCCAGGTCCTGAGCTGGAGGTGAAAACAGACTCCTGGGTGCTGAGTTTGGTCCCTAGGTGGTCCTGCCAGGTTCCATGGGCCCGCAGGCTCGTCAGGGCAGAGTCCTGCTTCCTAAAAACATGGAACATCCAGGAGTCTGGGGGCACTTGTGTCTCCCTTTCCACTGCCCTTATACCATTACCTAGTGTTTTCTCCCACTGAGAACAGAGGCCACAAACCACAGAACTCAACTCTGCCTGTCAATTTGTCACCCAGAGAGATCACAAGTTTTTTAATGTACAGTTTTTGATGAAATCTTAATTTCCCCCCCAGTTAATCATGCGGCAGTCAGACTTGCTCCTCCTAATCTTCCTTTTCTTTGCTGCTCCCAGCACGGCTTCCTCTGAGCCTGCAGGAAGGACTTGGACCCAGCAAGCCTGGCGCCTTAAGTTGCAGCGTCCTTGACGCTTGTCCTTGACGGTTTTAATGAGCAGAGGGTTTCCTACAAAATAGCCTATTCCTCATAGAAAAGCTTTGATGCAAAATTTATTTTTAATTGAGTAGGTATAAATTTTAACTTAGCTTTTAATTTTTACCTTGATTTGTTTTCAAAGTATGTCAAATTTGACACCTTGTTAAGAATTGAATCTCTTTTCTAAGACTTCAGAAGCTTGTAATAAATTTAAACAAACCAAAGACACTGTAAGAGAATCTAGGGGCATTTTATGTTGCAAGTGATGCTATAAATAGCTCCCCTCAACCCTCACAGCCCCCAGACACACACACCTAAGTATTAATACCTAACTTGGCACCCGGCAAGCCCTGCTTGTTTCACAGAGTCGGGAAACTTAAGAGTGAAACTTGCATGTTCGTGAAGTGGTGACTCTAAGAGCTCTCTGCAGCCTCTGAACTGCGCCCAGCTGTAATCAGGTGCTAGAGGGAGCCAGCGTGGGCATCCCCTGGTCTTACTCGTTCATGTCCAGAGTCAAAAGGAACAGGGACCAGACAACTGGCAAGGCTGTTCTGTTTGGGGGGGAGGCGCCTTTCTCCTGCAGCAGGACGTCAGAGTCGTCAGTTCCATTGCAGTCAATGCATAGTGACACATTGCTGTGTTTGGTGTGATTTTATGAACTTACGCTTGCACTGCCTGGATGAGGCAGTGACACGCTTATTACACTAAATTAACACCTGTCAGGCTGTCTCCACATTCACTGTCACACCTTCTCAGGGCGGAAGGTGCAGGTCTCAGGTGCAGGATGGGAGAAAAATTACCCAGGGTGATGCTGTCACCGTGGCAACACCAGAGCATCTCTAGCTATCAGTACAGTCAGGCCCCTTCCGGGTTCACCAACTGGATTTAACCTTGGAGAAGGAAATGGCAACCCACTCCAGTGTCCTTGCCTGGAGAATCTCATGGACAGAGGAGCCTGGTAGGCTACAGCCCATGAGGTCACAGGAGTCGGACATGACTTAGCGACTAAATCACCACCACCAAATTTTCCTTCAGGGCTTGTTTGTCAGAAAGGCATCATTAAAAAACACACAGTCCCTCTGTTTATGGTGAAGGGCAGCTGGTTATTCAGGTGGCGCGGGCACAGCGTTTATGGTGCATTCAGTGACAGGTTGAGGGGTTTTCCAAGAGGAGCAGCTCAACCATGACGCATTTGTGAAAGACAGAAACCAGATGCAGTGCCCACTGCGGGGACGAGACTCAGGAAGGGGCGCCATCAGCCAGACGCAGTGCCCACTGCAGGGATGAGACACAGGAAAGAGGCAACATCAGCCAGACGCAGGGCCCACTGCAGGGATGAGACACAGGAAAGAGGCAACATCAGCCAGACACGGTGCCCACTGCGGGGATGAGACACAGGAAGGGGCGCCATCAGCCAGACGCAGTGCCCACTGCAGGGATGAGACACAGGAAAGAGGCAACATCAGCCAGACACAGGGCCCACTGCAGGGATGAGACACAGGAAAGAGGCAACATCAGCCAGACGCAGTGCCCACTGCGGGGATGAGACTCAGGAAGGGGCGCCATCAGCCAGACGCAGTGCCCACTGCGGAGACGAGACTCAGGAAGGGGCACCGTTCACAAAGCCGTAAAGCCCCCATTTTCTTTCTGAGCGAACCTGGACCTCCGGATCGGCTCAGAAGCTGGGTCACAGTCTGGCAGAGTCTCGGTCTGACTTGGTGGCCAGAGTTCTCTGTGGCTGAGGGACTGGGCCCGACTGGCTCTGACAACGGGGGGCGGGGGTGTCTCTAAGGGAGGGGCCACCCCGAAGAACCCTCACCCCCTCTGCAGGGAGCCGCTCCCCGCCCCCCGACACAGGCACCCACAGCCCTGTGGCTCTTATATCGCATCTCACACGGGCTCTCGGGCACCTTCATCTCCCGCTTTCTTGCCTGAGATGGGATTAAAAGCTAAGTTAAAATTACCCTAAAGAAAGAGAAATACAATGAGGTTTACATGGTCAGTTGGTGGCAAGATGATTTCCTTTCATTTTTATTTCTATAGTTAATGGTGATTTTCCATTTCAGATTGGTGAATCAATGTATATAATTCTCAGGAACTCATGGGCAGATGTAAAATATGACATAATGCTTAAGCCATATTAGCTGGTCTGCAATATTTTTGTGTCCAGAAGTACATTTTTTTCAATACTTCAATTGTAATGTAAAGTATGACTATTCATTATTAAACCTGGGATTGGCACCTCAGAAACAGTGCTTTGCTTGAATGTGCTATGAAGCATGGTCACTTTCCTCCCAGTTCTGATATATTTGCAGTTTCTCAAGAGGTCACTTGCTGTGACCTCTTCTTTACGACCCAATGGCCCAGAGATCATTTTCAAAAGTCAGCCTTTCAATTAGCTGCTTCTCGTAGAGGTGCACTGTTGGAAGCTTCACAAGCCTTCTTTGACCAGAGCCCTGAAAACAACCAAATCTTTTTTCCAGTTTCTGATAAATTCAATTAGGAAAATGACAATGGAGTCTAACAGCCAGGGGTCCTACAAGAAGCAATTATTTCTATCCTTGAAAGAAAATGTGAGTGATTTTGCCTGAAACTGATGAAAAACATGGAATCATTTCCATCTCTGAAGTAGTAATAGAGCAATTATAGGGTTTTTTTTTCTTTTTTGGTTACCTAGGTGACTATCAGTAACACATTTTTAAAAACTGTCACACAGAACAGCTGAGAAGGAAACACATTGTTAAATTGATCAGTATCACATACAGGTTATAGACTAATTAATGCATAGCTAGTGAGTCAGTCAGCTTTGCTTATTTTACTTGGCTCAATCTTTCCATTTAAGTCATCATAATCTTAGAGCATTGCTCTCAGTGTGATTTGGGGAGGTGGTCAACACAGATGACACGCTGGTCAAAGCTCATCAGAATGCGCCCTTAAAACATATGTCTTTTGTGTGTCAGCTGGAAGAACAAAGTTTACGGAGCTGAGAAACAGAGATTTGGGGTCAGTCTGGTTCACGCGAGTTCTGTGGGGCCCTCAGCCCCAGGCGGTGTCTCTGCGGGAGGGGGGCTCCCTGAGTCATCCCTCCTCCATCTGCTTGCTCCCTCCTTAACCCAGAAGGTGCCGAGCACCTGGCCCATCCAGGCACGAGGCAACCTTGGCATCAGACCGGTCAGTGAGTGAAGGCGGCAGAGCCCTGTCTGTATTCCAGATGTGGGCTGAAGTTGTGTGGGGGCTGAGCGTGGAAGAGTGTGTCAGGGCAGGTGGCACCTGAGCAGGGCTGAAGGGCAGGACGTCAGCCAGACTTGGAAGAAGGGGCAGGGGCCCTCGGGCAGGAGCTGGTCATTAATAGAAGCATCCAGAGCTAATTTATTTTGGAGCTAAATTCATAGATTCTATGTCTTCATAAGATAATGTAGGTGAAATTTCATAAAGTTTTCATTGTTAAAAATTACATTTTATATGTGTATTGTTATTCTTTAATTTATATTCATAGGCAATCTAAGTAGATTGCATGAAGTAGTATAATACAGAATGCTCACATTTTTATAAATAATGTAAGTGTGTGAGTTATAATAACTTTTTTGAACTATAATCATATAAATTTCAATATGACAGTTCATTAACTTGTGAGATTATTTCTGGGCATATTTTTCCATAATTGCAAAATCATTACTGATCATATTTTCTTATACCTTATTGAATTTTACTTTACATTTTTATTAATAAGAAAATAAGACAGAAACTGAAAAATCAATTTATTTTTAAAAGTAGCTAATATTTATTAACGTGTTGACTTAAGAGTATTTACATTAATTTTTAAGTTCCTAAGAACTGAGAATGCTAAGAAGATCAAAGATACTAAATGAGCCTTAATTTTTTTTGTGACACCAAGAGGCAGGTGGGATCTTAGTTCCCAGATCTTTGATCCCTGGGTTCGAACCCAAGCTCCTGCAGTGGAAGCATCAGGTCATAACCACAGGCTGCCAGGTAAGTCCCTAGATGAGCTTTAGAAATGACATCCTCACCCCTCCCGAGGATGCCCTTGGTGTGGGGCTTGTCCCCCAAACCTGCTCATCCTCTCGGAAAGGAAGAGAGCAGGAACCGGTGCAGCGGTTCCCAGATCTCAGCCTCCCAGGAAGCAGCCGGGCTCCCAGCTGGTTCTTGTGGTGGGAACGTGCAGGGAGCCCTGAGCTGTTCCCGCCACAGTGAGGACCAGGCTCCAGAGCCTCAGCAAGAGGGCACCGCTCACCCCAGGGACTCACAAGTTTACCCCCACTGTGCGTTCACACACGCCTCTGCCTTGAGCTACTTTGTCAAGAAGGCGATGGAATCAGGTCTGAGCCTCTCTGTTCTGCCCACCCGCCAACCCACCTCCCCTGGAACCAGTCCAACCAGGGATGCTCCGCGCTGAGCTCGTCCCTGCCAAGCAATCTTTCTCCAAGGAAGGGCTCGTGAGTTAGCAATTTATGCACGCTGCCTGTGGGTCTCGATTAAAATTCTATCACTGCAGCAGGTCAAGCTAAAACTACAGGAGCAGCTCAGAACGCACGTGGTGCTGAAGTTAACGAAGCGAGGCTCTTCCCTCTGCCGCTTTCTCCGCCGTCAGCTTACACGTCCTTGTTCAGCCGCGAGCTTGGCTGAGCGGGCAGGGAAGCGAATCGCAGAGGAAAGAGGAGGAGGAGGTGAGGACCCGTGTGACCGCGGGGACAGGCGAGGAGCCGCTCCAGGGAGAAGAGGCTTGGGGGGGCACTGGGGCCGTGGGGGGCGTCGCCACACGTGCAGGGTCACGTGTCCCGAGTCAGAGCCTCTCAGACCCGACCCGAAGGCACAGGTGGGCCACGTGTGCGTTCTACTGAATAGAAATAATTGCGAAATCTCCACAAAAAACGCAGTACTGAGCGTGGGAGGAGGCTAAAATACAAACAGCTCCATTTATCGTCAAGGATAACACTGGGGCAGAAACGGGGTGGAGGAAGGAGGTCTTTGTGCATCGATTTTATTCCCACGGTGGATAAAGATCATTCAAGAACTGTAGTAGGTGCCCTTTGCATTTCATCTTCCTTTTCTGATGCTAACAAGGCCTGTGCTGTGAAGTAAGACAGGCTCCTTCCTCAACCTGTGTCCTTGTTTATGCAGCCGGAGCCTGGGGCGGTGCCCCACCCGGTGGTGACGTCACTTCCGCGTCCACAGTGATGCGGTCCCAAACCCCACTTCGCCCCGGTTCTTCCCTCGTCTCCTACCGGAAAGCCCAAGTGCGCGCGCGCGCGCGTGTGTGTGACAGAGAGGGAGAAGTTCCCGTGAGGAGGAGGTCGCTGGGCCATCACTGGGTGCTGGGTCCCGGCCAACGCACTTCCGCGAAGCCCGGAAATCCTCACGAGCAGCGCCTTCCGTCCCCTCGGCCCTTGCCGAAGGCGTGAGGATTTCACAGAGGCGCGATCTGCCCGATCATAAAGCTCTCTGCTCGCTGATGCAGTCACAGCCATCAGGGCTTGATTGTAATCCTGCCTGACTGTCCCACTGCCGTTGAGTTTTCTTGGGCCTTTGAGTAACACTGTCAGCTCCTCAAGAAGTTAATTTCCCCATCACACCTGACCAGGGGCTTCACTTCGCAGCTGGAGCAGAATTAGGAGAAGTTCTGTGTCAGAGGACCTTAAAGGCTGGAAAGAAACGCGTCAACCCACCCCGATGGCAGCCCTGTCTGTGAACCTGCTGACGACGAACAACCTACACAGCAGGCAGAGGCAGGTGCGGTCCGAATGCCCACTGCCCGATGAGAGGGTAGCAAATGTGCCCAGGCATCCATCAGTGACGGGGAGTGGCTGACTCGTGCTAATACGTCGCTGCCGCCTGTTCCTGACCAGCCGGCAGCGGAAGACGGCATGTTGTATAATTCTGTTCCCATGAGGGTCGAGACCAGACCCGTCCAGAGAGATGGCAGATCAGTTACACTCAAAATAAACAACAAAGACAATAAAACACACAACTAATAGAGACTGGAGCAGAAACGTGTGACTCTGAAAATAAACAGTCTGCACATGGTTACTGTTACCAGGCTCGGTTATGCCAAAGAATTATCACATAGGCAAACAACTTTGATGAGGTTAAAAAGTGGCCGGGGTGCAGGGTGGGAGGTGGGGCAACGGACGGGGAGGGGGAGAGCGGGAGACACCGAGGATGTAAAGTTCCCCGAATGAGGATGTGTACACAGAGAGGGTAGCGGTTTCCATGCTCAAGTGTGCATCACATTTACTTGGAGAGCTTGTTAAAACAGATCGCTGGACCCACCCAGCAGTCCTAATTCTGTAGGTTTGGGTGCAGCTGGAGAGTCTGCATTTCTGACTAGTTTGTGGGCGGTGCTGAATACCCTCCATGAGAACCACTGCAGCAGCAAGGAAAAAAATCAACAGCAGTGACAACCGTTAGCACACTCTTAGCAATAGTTTGAGTGATTTCATGCAACTCATTTTCAAAATGCATGTAGTTATATGCGTGAGTGCATGCTCGGTTGCTCGGTCATGTCTGACTCTTTACAACCCCATGGACTGTAACTCACCAGCTCCTCTGTCCAGGGAATTTTCAAGGCAAGAACACTGGAGTGGGTGGCCATTTCCTCCTCTGGGGATCTTCCTGACTCTGGGAACAAATCTGCATCTCCTGCCTGGGCAGGCAAGTTCTTTACCACTGCACCTCCTGGGAAACCTGTATAGCTGTATATAATTTCATAAATAAGAAGGAAAAACACTTAATTCTAAGTGCTGCCTCAAAGTAGCTCCTCCAGCTAGCCACCCAAACTTCGCCCCACCTTGAAAAAAATGGATAAACTTTATTTAGAGTTACAGTGGATAGGACCCAAACTTTAAGGAATTAGCTGTTTCTCAAAAAATAGTTCCAGAAAACAAGAAGACATAAAACTAACCAAATAATTTTGTAAGTCTAGTAAAACTTTGACATCAAATAAAGCTTTGCTAAAGAAGATAATCATTAAATAACTTATTTAAAAATCTAAATGCTAAAATTATTTTAAAAAAGAAAACCAGCATGCCCATATTATCTAGTGATGTGTGCATATAGCATGACCAAGCTGAGTTTATCCCAAAGAACGCCAGTGTGATTAAATATTAGAAAAGCTATTACTGTAAATACCACATAAGCAACATAAAAGATTACCTTCAGATTATCTAAGAGTTTCAGAAATGGACTTGTCAGTAATGTTTCATTCCTACTCATGATAACAAAAGAGGTTTTTTGCAGAACAGGAAAGGAGAGGCTGGCACTGACCGATAAAGGATATTCATAAGGAGAAAATCAAACACAACAATTGTGAAACTTTAAAGTGATTTAAAGGTTACCAGTGGAAAAAAAAAAAAAAAAAGGTTACCAGTGTTGTGTTCAGTTTTGTTTTGTTTTGTTTTTAAGGTATTTCCTTTGAAGTCAAGAACAAGGCACAGATAAACTCTCTCCTGGCTAATGTTGAACATTGTATGATCACCATGAATTGAAGGACAGGATTGGAGGCCCGAGTATCTTAAGTAAAGGAATGACATTTCCCTTCCTAACAAGCTGTAAGATTGAAGAAAAGGGAATTACTGAGAGAATTCAAGACATTCTACAATGATCCATGAAAGTTAAGCTCAACTGATGAATGGATTCAAAATAAATTACATAAGAATGCATAATTTATTGTCATAATCCAGAAAGGACCAATGATAAAAATGCCATATAGCAATAAAATATTATGTGGCACCTCCCAATAAACCTAACATCTTTGTAAGATCTCTTTAGAGACAATTACATAATTGCTGAATGCATAACCTAGATAGAGATCATGATGTGAAGTCTCAATATTCTAAAAATGTCAGTTGCACCCAAATTGATCTATGCACTCAGTGAGATGTTAAAATGTGTAGAACTGGTGAAAGTCAGGCTAATAGTTATATGGAGGTACAAGAGTCTGATTTAAGCAAAGGAAAATTTGAAAAAGCGGAACCTGGAAATCAAGTGGCTAACCAGACAGTAGGCTTACTTCACGTCTACAGTAATTGAGGAAAAGTAGACTCAGTGCAAAGATTCAGGAATGGTTGCTCTAAGGACTTCCTTTGTGATCCAGGGGTTAAGACTCCACCCTCCCCGTGCAGAAGGCGCCTTGTTCACTGTCTAGATCTTAGACATTAACCTGTAAGAGCCATGCTCTGTTTAGAGGTATAACAGAATCGTGTCTTGTAACTTTTATCTTGTAAAATCCATCTTTCTGTCAGGTAGCAACGTTCACATTGCAATCTTCTAAATACCAAGTATAACAATAAAACCGTTTCACACACACCACACATCTTAGTTATTGAGTGCATTTCTTCCCATTCTTTTTTTCTCTTTCTTGTCCAGGGATAATTAGTCATTCTTTGAGAGATGTAGGTGTTGGTGTTTCTTTCTAAATAAAGGAGTTCCTTCTGGGGTATTAAGAGCAGAAAGGAAAGGAGGTGTCAGCTCTCAGGGAACCAGCAGTTCCTTATGAGACTTCCACAGGCCTGAGACTGCCGCCTTCGAGGTGAAGCAGGCAGGCTGGCGGCAAAGGGCACAACTGATCTGTCCTAGTGGAGCTTTCTTTTTTGAAAATGCTATTGCATAGGGCCCTCTGAAAGAGGGGCGTTTCTAAAGGGCCACAGGGAAAGAAGGTGTGAAAGAGGCAAGCAAGCGTGCAGGCAGCCCCTCCAGACAGCGCCAGTTTTCCGGACAAGACTGATCGAAATGAATTCGGAGAGAACCAAGACGCGCACAAGGGCCATTTAAAACCACTTCCCGCCCTAAGTAAGAAGAAAACCGTGCGCCAAAGATGTTTCAATCGATTTCAAAACTAGATATCGAGCAAAACGTATGTGTATGTCTATATACATATGAACACTTTTATATATAATGTGGATGTATATAACATAGATACATGCAATCATATGTTTACATGCCGGTAGGGGCATTGAGTTTATATCTTTGAATGTTTTCTCAGGCTTGGGTTTACAGGATGTTGCCAGCATTTCTAACTCATCCATCCACATGTCTACGCTTAGAAGGGCCTCAACCTTGTATTGTTCAGACGCTCAGTCATGTCCTACTCTTTGCCTGGACTGCAGCATGCCAGGCTTCCCTGTCCTTCACCATCTCCTAGAGCTTGCTCAAAGTCATATCCACTGAGACGGTGATGCCATCCAACCATCTCGTCCTCTGGCATCCCCTTCTCCTCCCGTCTTCAATCTTTCCCAGCATCAGGGTCTTTTCCAATGAGTTGACTCTTCAAATCAGGTGGCCAAAGTATTGGAGCTTCAGCTTCAGCCTCAGTTGATCTCATATACTTATTGAAATTGTTTTTAATGCTATCACTGTCTTAAAATTTTCCATAATTTTTGAACAACAGACCCTGCATTTTATTTTGCACTGGGCACCTCAGATTACACAGCTGGCCTGGCGGGGGGAGGAGTACACCCTGCCTCTGGCCTGGACAAGGCCCCTCCCTGCTCAGCTTCCACGGCTTCCGTCCCCATAGCACGAGACAGGCAGGGCCGAGGCCAGGACGCAGCCCCTGGCAGCCAGGACCTGGTGGCCTGAGGACGCCAGAGAGGAGGGGAGGGGAGGGGAGGGTCTAACCAGGTGAGCAGGGTGGCAGGTGCAGGGACACCCCTGGACTCCGTGGTCCGTGGACATCACTGCTTCCCTCTGTCTTTCTTCTCCCAACCTGTCTTCCCACAGAAGCTGGGCTACTCAGACCTTGGCGCGCCAGGCTCGGCCAGGCTGACCTTGGGCACCTAAGAGGCAGGGACACAGAACCAAGCCTCCTGGTTGCTGGCAGCTGAGACTCACTGTTGAGGTAGGTCCCTGAGAGCAGGCTAGCTCCCGTGGGCATCTCCACTGGGGGACCCTGCCAGGGACAAGGCCAGGGCCGGGGGACAAGACTGCTGCGACCTGGCCTCCAGCTTCTTCTCCAGCAGGAAAACAGAGAGGTGATCGAAACCCTGGGACAGCTCTCTGTGGTCATTTTAGAGTATGCCCCCCCACCCCCACCCCCGCCCCAATCCTGGGAGAAGCAAGTGGAGAGGCTGGGGCGGGAACCTGCGCTGTCAAGGAGGCAGTGAACACGCTTTCCCATCAGGTCCGCGGGTACTGGAGGTGCCGGGACTGTGCTCTTAGGAGTCACGTGGTCTTGGGTCCGTCGTGTGCGCTGCCTTCAGTCAGGAACCACGCGGGAAGTTACCCGCTTTACCTCCTCCGGGGAGGGTCCCCACTCTCTCTCATTTCCTCGCGCACGCCCTCCAGGACCCAGCAGGTGCTCACACCTCAAGTGGACGCGGGCCCAGGTGAGAGGCGTGCTGAGATGCAGGGGTCCCGTCCCCTTCCGTCCCCCTCCATGGATGGCTGGCCGGGGCTCAGAGGGGTGTTAGTTAAACACAGTACCTGAAACGTTTTAAAAAACTTATCTTTAGGTTAGATAATACACTGACGGCCTCGAGCCCTTCTTTTGAAGGTTTTGGGAAGTGCTCTTTGTGAAAAGCATCAGACCAGGAAGATGGACGTCCTTTGTTGTACAAAGTACTTTGTCTGCAGACCCTGAAGAAGAGGATGTCTAGGGAGAAGCCTGGGGCTGGCTCCTCCAGCCTCAGGGTGAACCCCCCTCCCCAAGCTGTCGTGGCCTCCCTTAGGGGGTCCGACCCCTCTCAGCAGGGGGCCCGTTGTCCCCCTGGACGCGTCGGCTTGCCCGTCACCTGGCAGGCACCCAGTCCGTCCCTGCAGGGAACAAGCCCACACATGACGTCGGCATCAGGTCCTAGGTGACATGAGTGTGTAAAGCAAGCCCGTCCGACTGAGAAATTGTGCCCGAGACGCTCCCACCCGAAGGCCAGCTGCGGCTCCCGTGGAGGTGGGCGCCCCGTCCCGTCAGCTGCGTCCTGGCCTCAGGCAGGGGTCGGGGTGGCAGGGGAGCTGCTCTGGCTGGAAGGTCAGAACATGGGCAGCCACGGGGCATCTTCCTGGCCCTTGCTGTCTTTAGAAATTCTCTCAGGCATGAAGTGCGTTGCCTGCTCGATGTAATTTCCGTGCAACCCCTGTGAGCTGTGTGTCTACAGAAAGTGACTGATCATTAGTCCGAGAGTCTCTCCAGGAAGACCGCGGCCGCAGACCCCTCCCAGCCCCGCCAACAGTGGCTGCTATCAGCCTCTGCTCTGTTCTGCCATGCTGATGGACAGACCAACTGCGGCTCCTGAAAGGACAGACACACAGCATCTCCCAGCAGCTTCAGGCCAATGCAATTTCCCAGAGCTTTCGCCCAAACATTCATGAGGTGCAGCAAAGAGCTTTTCTTCCTTGGTTTGAGTGCACATTTTTCCTATTGAGAATTAGCAACTTGATTGTTGTAAAAAAGCAATTTCCAGGTTGACTGCGGGTGAAGCCGTATTGAGTCTGGCAGCTGTGTTTGTGGATTTTGTTTTTTTTTAAGTGGCATTTCCTAGGAGCAGAAACAGTACAAACTTGCCCCATCTTTGCTGCTCTTTCAGCGACATCAGGGCTGAAAAGAGCTAATCAGTGTGAATAATAAAGAGATGTTATGTTTCCTCTATGAATTGGAAGCCCATTGGCAAAGAGGCTGAAGTGGGGATTTTGGTCACTTTGGGGTTTGGGCCTCAGCAGATGAAGCGGGGGTGGGTGACGGGTGAACACCACACTTGTGGCGAAGAAAGACCTTCAGAGGAGTGACCACGCCTGAGTTGTGCCCTCTGCCCCGTCCATCCAGAGGGCTTCCTGTCCCACGGGGAGCGAGGAGGGCCACGCTGCCCACTGGACCCCAGCGGCAGGCCCGCTGCTGCTGCTCTGCCCTCGGAGCACTGAGCCAGGGGCGAGGCGTCAGCCCCTCACCCACGACCCGAGGTGAGCAAACCCTGCGGGGAGGGCCCGGCGGGCTTGGGGGCCAGCGCCCCATCCAGGGCTCTGGGGCCCCATTCCATAGCCACAGAGGCTCCAAAAGCAAAGTGTTCTCACGCTGTCTAAGATTCTTTGTCTCATTCGACCCCGCCCCCCCGCCCCTGGCATCTGCGTCTCTCCGTCCTTCCGGACCGCCAGTGCCCCTGGCCGCTTCTCTCCTCGCACACGACCAGCATGAAGATGGATCAATACCCCCTCCCCACCACCCCACTATGAAGATGAATCAATACCCCTCCCCGCTCCCCCACATCCTTGGGTGTGGACAGCCCTGGACTCTGAACAGCTCCCCCAGCTTCCACTTTCTGAACCTCCAGCCCCGCACACGGGCTCCTCCCGGGAGAGCTGTCCCTGGACCATCTCATCCTGAGGCTCACAGCCCGGGGCCCCCCACATCATCCAGCGGGGCTCCCCCATGACAGAGGCCAGACCCAGCTCCTTACCCCAGGAGGCCGGCAGGGTGATGCTGGGGGAAGCTGGCAAGCAGGGTCCCGTCTTCACAGCGCGTGGGGGCCGTCTGGCCGACCCCTCTGGTTTCCGTGTTGGACCCTGCTGGGCAGGCCCCTTGCTGAGCCTAGAGATCTGACCTGACCCCGCCAGCCCCTCTGTCCTGGGGTGGACGGCGCCTCCACTCACACCTGCCCAGGAGCCCCCCAACCTGGGCTGACGGAGGAGCAGGCCCAGCTCTACCTACCATTCCCCAAGCTGACGGGCGTGGACCCCTCGCCATGAGACGTCTGTGGGCTTGTGAATACCCCCAGGCTCACGGTTCTCTCACTTCTTACAGACCAGTTTCTTGAGGACATACATCCATACGGGCTGGACAGACCTGCGTCCCAGCAAGGAGAGCATGACGTTTCAGACCTGGTCCCTCAAAACACCACCAGCTCGGTCCTCTGCAGGAGGAGCCCCCCTGAAATCAGAGCCCTGGGGCTCTGTGTGGTTTGGAGGAATGACCACCTGTCTGAGGTCTGATCTGAACACGGTGTAGGAATGAGCTGTGCTTTCTGCTAAAACTCTATTCTAGAATAATCGCCAATGTTAAAACCAGCTAACACACAGCGCACAATCAAAGACCAGTTTGCTTATTTCCAGAATCCTAACCAGCCTCCTCGGAGAAGGCAATGGCACCCCACTCCAGTGCTCTTGCCTGGAAAATCCCATGGACGGAGGAGCTTGGTAGGCTGCAGTCCATGGGGTCGCAAAGAGTCGGATGCGACTGAGTGGTTTTATTTTCACTTTTCACTTTCATGCACTGGAGAAGGAAATGGCAACCCACTCCAGTGTTCTTGCCTGGAGAATCCCAGGGACCGCAGACCCTGGCGGGCTGCCGTCTCTGGGGTCGCACAGAGTCGGACACGACTGAAGCGACTTGGCAGCAGCGGCAGCAGCAGCAGCCAGCCTCCTGCTCTCGGTGATTCTTATGTAACTGTGGCTGACACAGTGCTGTCTGCCCAGTGTGGCTCCCCGACCCCAACACCCTCCTCCACCCACAGCTCCATCCAGCCCCCTCTGCTGGCCAAAACCGGTCCCCTCGGCACAACTGTGTGCTTTTAATTCTGTTTTCTAATCCGTCTACCATGGTTTCTCCAGTGGTCATGTGTGCATATGAGAGTTGGACTATAAATAAAGCTGAGCACAGAAGAATTGATGCTTTTGAACTGCGGTGTTGGAGAAGACTCTTGAGAGGCCCTTGGACTGCAAGGAGATCCAACCAGTCCATCCTAAAGGAGATCAGTCCTGGGTGTTCATTGGAAGGACTGATGCTGAAGCTGAAACTCCAGTACTTTGGCCACCTGATGCTAAGAGTCGACTCACTGAAAAAGACCCTGATGCTGGGAGGGATTGGGGGCAGGAGGAGAAGGGGATGACAGAGGATGAGATGGTTGGATGGCATCACCAACTCGATAGACATGAGTTTGAGTAAGCTCTGGGAGTTGGTGATGGACAGGGAAGCCTGGTATGCTGCAAGTCCCTGGGGTCTCAAAGAGTCAGACATGGCTGAGCGACTGAACTGAACTGAACTGAATCCATCAGCTTTGCCCACTGACTGCAAAACAAATGACTATCCTAGATACACTTGGTAAAAAAGAATCTGCCCTAAATGTAACTAAACAGAAGAGAGAGAGAGAAGAAAACGGACTTGACGCTGTCATTTCTGCAGCCTCCGCCCTAGTGAGTCTGGACGCGCCTGGCGCTCCTGACAGCCCTGGTCCTCCCGGGTCCCCTGTTGCTCATCTCTCCTCGGCCTGCTGTCCCTTCCTGCGCCCGCGGGGAGGCCGCTGAGACTCTGAGGGGCCCTTCCTTGGCAGCGGCATGGCCGTGCCTGAGAATCAGACCCTACTCTGTGATCCCTGGCAGCCTTGCGACGCCCTCGCTCAGGGTCACGGGTACCTTTGCCTGAGTCGTCCCATCTTCAAGCAGACAGACAGGCTTCCCAAGGTCAGGAGCCCCGGCCGTGGCCAGGGAGCTCTCCCCAGTTCACGGACATTACTGCATCCGACGTCGGCTCCGGTGGAGACCGTCAGAGGTCTGTCCTCTGGGCGCGGGGTCACGCCTTCCTGCACAGCTGCTGCCAGAAGCGCAGTCCTGACAAGAGAGCATCCACAGGGAACCAAGCCCTGGGCGTCTCCCCTCCCACCCCCAGGAGGATCCACTTGCTAATGTCTTGGCACATGACTCACTTTCTCAATAGCTTCTGTGCATGCACCTGATTTATTAAAAATGGTAAAACCGTTAATAATCCCTGCAGTCAGGGCCTGCTTCCTGCATCCATGACACTCTTCCAAAATGTCCACAGTCTGTATCTGATGCTCACAGCACTCTGTGAGGCACCTCTGACCCTGTTTCTACTTCATCTGCGAGGAAACTGAGGCAGGGAAGTTGCAGACTTTCTCAGGCCCCAGTGTGCGTGGCCCCAAGGCGCTCCTGCCCCAGCCCTGCCCTGAGCCCCTGGAAGAGACGCAGCAGAGGCAGATGGTGAGTGCAGAGCCTCCTCTGCCCCCCAAGTCTGGGTAGGTGTCCTGTGTCCACACCCGCTGACCCCTGGGGTCACGTGGGAAGAACACAGCCGAGTGGGCTGACGGTGTGGCCTCGGGGCCCGGAGCAGCTGGGGTGCAGCCACGGACACTCCACGAGCAGGCGAGGATGCCCCCTGCCCTCAGCTTCTCAACACCACACAGGCTTTTCCAGGCTCGGCTGCCGTGAAAAGACCTGAATTGACTACGGAAACCTTGGATTGATGGAGTTTAACATGAATTAATAAAGAGAAATTTGCCAGCAGGCAGAAGAAGGGCTTGAAATAGTAATTATGTTCAGCTTCATAAAAATAGGGACTGAAGCTTTGCACCTCGAGTCGATGACCTGAAAACTCCACGCCTGCTCTGTCTCGACACACACGCTTTTGTATCCACCTGCCTGATACACACGGAACACAGGTGTGTGTGTGTGTGTGTGTGTGTGTGTTTGTAAGGGAGTGCCCACAGAACCACTGTGTAGGTGAACAAGGAACACAGGTGTGTGTGTGTGTTTGTAAGGGAGTGCCCACAGAACCACTGTGTAGGTGAACAAGGAACACACGTGTGTGTGTGTGTGTGTGTGTGTGTGTGTAGGGGAGTGCCCACAGAACCACTGTGTAGGTGAACAAGGAACACACGTGTGTGTGTGTGTGTGTGTGTAGGGGAGTGCCCACAGAACCGCTGTGTAGGTGAACAAGGAACACACGTGTGTGTGTGTGTGTGTAGGGGAGTGCCCACAGAACCGCTGTGTAGGTGAGCAAGGAACACAGGTGTGTGTGTGTGTCTAGGGGAGTGCCCACAGAACTGCTGTGTAGGTGAACAAGGAACACGTGTGTGTGTGTGTCTAGGGGAGTGCCCACAGAACTGCTGTGTAGGTGAACAAGGAACACGTGTGTGTGTGTGTCTAGGGGAGTGCCCACAGAACCACTGTGTAGGTGAACAAGGAACACGTGTGTGTGTGTGTCTAGGGGAGTGCCCACAGAACCGCTGTGTAGGTGAACAAGGAACACACGTGTGTGTGTGTGTGTGTGTGTGTAGGGGAGTGCCCACAGAACCGCTGTGTAGGTGAACAAGGAACACACGTGTGTGTGTGTGTGTCTAGGGGAGTGCCCACAGAACCGCTGTGTAGGTGAACAAGGAACACACGTGTGTGTGTGTGTGTGTGTAGGGGAGTGCCCACAGAACCGCTGTGTAGGTGAACAAGGAACACAGGTGTGTGTGTGTGTCTAGGGGAGTGCCCACAGAACCACTGTGTAGGTGAACAAGGAACACACGTGTGTGTGTGTGTGTGTGTAGGGGAGTGCCCACAGAACTGCTGTGTAGGTGAACAAGGAACACACGTGTGTGTGTGTGTGTAGGGGAGTGCCCACAGAACCACTGTGTAGGTGAACAAGGAACACGTGTGTGTGTGTGTCTAGGGGAATGCCCACAGAACCGCTGTGTAGGTGAACAAGGAACACACGTGTGTGTGTGTGTGTAGGGGAGTGCCCACAGAACCGCTGTGTAGGTGAACAAGGAACACACGTGTGTGTGTGTGTGTGTAGGGGAGTGCCCACAGAACCGCTGTGTAGGTGAACAAGGAACACAGGTGTGTGTGTGTGTGTAAGGGAGTGCCCACAGAACCGCTGTGTAGGTGAACAAGGAACACGTGTGTGTGTGTGTGTCTAGGGGAGTGCCCACAGAACCACTGTGTAGGTGAACAAGGAACACGTGTGTGTGTGTGTCTTGGGGGGTTGCCCACAGAACCGCTGTGTAGGTGAACAAGGAACACGTGTGTGTGTGTGTGTAGGGGAGTGCCCACAGAACCGCTGTGTAGGTGAACAAGGAACACAGGTGTGTGTGTGTGTGTAGGGGAGTGCCCACAGAACCGCTGTGTAGGTGAACAAGGAACACACGTGTGTGTGTGTGTGTAGGGGAGTGCCCACAGAACCGCTGTGTAGGTGAACAAGGAACACGTGTGTGTGTGTGTCTTGGGGGGTTGCCCACAGAACCGCTGTGTAAGTGAGTAAGGTGAGTAACTGCCTCGGTCCCAGGAGCATGATTTCAGCCCCTGCCCCGCCCACCCCTGCAGCCACACGTCTGATGTCCGTCCCCGCTGGTGGTCCTGAGCACTCGCATCCACAGTCTCTGGGAACTCCTCACAGCTTACCTCCGAGAATCACAGGAGATGGAGCCTTCATCAGCCAGGTTTCTTGCCGTCGGCTGGGACCCCACCTTCGAGATGAGGCTCTGACCGCTCCCCAGCCCACCACCTCCGGCAGGAGAGTCTGCTCCGGGCTCTCTGCTCTCCAACCCCGCGGGGGCCGGTGCTTGGTGCTGGGGCATCTGGGTGGGGGCCCGTCTACACTGGGTCAGCTCCGGCCCGTTCCTCCAGGGCGCCCATCCAGTGGGTGAGGGAGGAAGCCGAGGGCCGGGTCAGGCCGTCGCCCTTTGGTTGGTTTCGGGTCAGCGTCGCTGACCGCCCAGTGTGACATTCTGACCTTCCTTCCCCCTGGGAAACCTTGTTGCCTTTGGTCGGCTTATCGGTGGGCTGAGTGCTCGTCCGTCCTGGGCAGCAGCGACATCAGGGCTCTGGAATCACGGGAGCTGGAAGCGGTTGTCCAGCTCAGCCCTCTCAGGTAAAGCACACGTGCGTGGTCTGTGTGATTAATACTGATGAAAATTTCAAAGGGGAAGGTGTTTAGTGACTGTTAAACTGCCTTTCTTTAAGTATCTGTGGCCCAGAGATAGTAAGAGATGTGGGCAGAATCATGGTGTCTGTGAACGCCTGCTCCAGCTTCAAAGCAGAACATTGCAGCAGACACTTGCACGCTCACCCCCAAAAGCAGCCCAGCGCCCGACTCGCAACACCAGAGCTGTGTCCTCTGGCCGACCTGACAGATGTCCAGAGTGAAGGTTTGACACAAGGGTCTGCCAGCTACAAGATGAACTAGCAAGCACAAATTACTACAAAGCACCAAGAGTTTGCCATGTGCAGTAAGGAATAAAGTTTATCTCCACAGGGGTATTTCCTTCAGTATTAATAGTCATCCAGCCAAAGAAAACAGACTGTGCAATTGAAGATAACGAGCATAATTAGGACTGAGTTTATAAAGCCCTGCCTTTCTCAAAGGACAATGTTCTCTGATTCAATATTCAATATGTGACTCTGCATTTTCACCCAAGGCTGGTGCAACAAGAATTTTACCACATATGCGGACAGCAATTGCTGTACTATGCACATTATACACTATCTTTTAAAGATGATTGCATACTAGAAAATCACTTTAGGGAACAAGAGTCAAAGCAGGCTGTGCTGACATCCAGCTTGAGCCGAGGCGCACAGAGGTTCAGGGAGAAGAGATGTTTCCCAGCGACCCCGGGCGACAGGTATCAGGGATTCTGTCCTGGACATGTGTCAGCAGGGCTGAGCCCATTTTTATGACAGTGTTCTGTTTGAGATACTTCAGTTCCAGCTGCTGGCTAAATACAAACACCCCCCTAATTAAATACTCTGTCATAATTCCGATCTACATAACAGTGGCACATTGATAGAACGAGTATTTGTTGCAGAATGAAACTGGTCCTTAATTAAAGAACATGTGATAGTAAAAGAAAGAAGTCCAATAGCAGTGTTGTTAGCATGCTTTAGGCGAGCTCCAGGGGATCGCTAATCTTGGGGGAGACTTTCTCCCTTCCTGCTTCTAAGAGCTCTACTCTATCAGCTCTGCTGATCCGGGGTCACCAGCCCACACGTCCTCTGATCGTTTCTTTGCTGGGAGCTCACGAGTTTCTATTTGCTCTTAGGGTCCTGAGGTCTACCATGGTGCACCCTGAGGCCGTGGGGCTTCCAGAGCAGGTGTGAGGTGCAGAGCCTCTGTCCAGGTGTGCTGGGGAAATGTTTACTGATCAGCTCACTGCCGTTTTGATGAGATGCTCACAATTCTGTCAGCACCGCTCTCACAGAAAACATCTTTAAACACATGCGGAAAGCTTCAAGAGAACCAGAGAAGGGAGAATTGCATATTTGCCAGATACCTGTGTATAATGGAGCATTAAAAACCCTGCCAGGGCCAAGCATCCTCATTTGGGTTTCTCACTTTTGACGGAATCCTCATTTGGATTTCCTCGGAAATTAAGGAGGCTGGGAAGATGGATTTGGGGGTGACCGCTGCGTGGAGTGTGGAGGGGGGCCAGATGCCCTGCGGCTACCTGGGTGCGCCTTTGAAGGGTAAGCGTTCAGACCACCTGTAGGATTACCGCAGAGGGTTCACTTGATGTGATGATGCGACCTGCCACCATGGGCTTTCTTCTCGGTGCTGTGAAATCATCTGGAAACGCTAAACACGCACAGGTGTGCAAGCATGTCCGTTCTCAACCCTGTTCCCCCCGACCTGGAGGCGTGTGCGCTATTCACTCCCTATGTGTGATAAGAGACCCACCGTCTGTTGTTTATTAAAGGGAAGGAGCACATGGGAAAATGAATTGCTTTGTTCTATGAAAAAGGCAATGTATTTTACCGACTTTTAAAATATATTTTTATTGTCATCTATTTTGAAATACTGAACAACCCCCAAAGCAATGATACTTAATAAAATAAAATTGCTTTAAGTTTTATCATTTAAAGCTAACACCCAGATTCTGATACACAACAATAAGATAGAAATTTAGCACCTTAGTTTCCCTTCACTTAAGAATAAATAAAGGCCTGCTCCATAAGACAGTCTAGCAGGATTTGCTAGATCATCCAAGGTTATTTCTAAGGCGTGAGGTAAAGCTAACGTCCTCTGGACCCTCAGCTTCCCTTGATCTGCCAGGGGCCTTTTCGAGCTCTGTGAAAAGTCTCCTGCTTGGAGACAGAGCTACTTCTACTACTAATTAGTGACAACAGTAAAATAACAAAGAGTGTTTAGCGGGTGCCGGCTTTGGGTGGGGCTCAACTGGTAAAGAATCTGCCCACAGTGCAGGAGACAGAGGAGACAGAGGTTTGATCCCTGGGTCGGGAAGATGCCCTGGAGGAAGAGACGGCAGCCCACTTCAGTGTTCTTGCCTGGAGAATCCCATGGAGCCTGGGGGGCCACAGTCCACAGGGATCACGGTCTAAACGCATGCACACAACACAGCTTTGGTGGACAATGGGCTATGCTATGTACTTCCGTAATTGTCCTTATTTCAGCCACACTGAGGAGTATAATTTTTGGATCCCAGGTTACAGATGAGAAACTTGAAGTTCAGTAAAGTGAAATCTCTGCCCCGGACACTGAGGAAGAGAAGCTGAGGAACAAAGTCTGGGCCTAAATCAACTGCTCTTGCCATGAGCGTGCCTCTCCTTCCATCACGGACCCACGAGATCCGGCTCCTCTCCTGGCCTCAGGCTCATCCCCGGGAGGGTGGTCTCCTGTTGATGGGCAGGGAGCACCATGGAGGGAGCACCTTCACGTCAGAACCGCTGCCCTGGGGCCAAGCCAGACACTCCTGAGGACCCGGAAAGACCGTCTTCTGTGTCAAGGGTGAGAGCAGTCACATCCACGAAACCCCAGAAGGCTCCACCTGCCGCTAACTTTGTGTCCACGTCTACCACCAAATAAAGCAACAGTGCTCTCCTCTCTAAGTGGTTCAGGAGTCTCAGCTCTTTGGGGAATTTAGTTTTGAAGGTCAGTTAGGGTTCAAGAGAGTTACTCTTGTATAGTTTCCAAAAGGAGGACATCTTTTTCAAAAGTAACTCCCGTTTGCTTTTCTTGCAAAAAGCTTCCATTTTGGATTATCTTGAAAGCAAAAAAGCACTTATGAAGTAACAAAAGTTCTTCATATGCTTGCATGAGACTTAGGTCTATCATACGGATTGTATTTCCTGGGGAAAGAAGACTGCATTCTCATCACGATGTGGAGGAAAAGAAGGAAATGAAATGAAACAGCTCACGAGTGAGCGGGAATCACAGTTCACGCTGTTTGGGATTACATAGCATTCTGCCGTGCTGTTACCCATATGAGCAGTTAGTTAAGATGTTACCACACTCTTCACAATAACCCCCCAGCTTTATCTACTGCACCCTCTACCCATCGATTTCAGTAACTACTCTGAAGTCTACACAACCTTTTCCTGTGTTTCCTGCCTTTGGTTTTAACAACAGGACTATGAAGAAAAAACTTTTAACTCTATTTCTATTTATTACCAAAGATTACATTATAGGTGTGTTTGTATTTACACAAACACATTACAGGTGGGAAACACAAAAACACTATAGGTGGGAAAAATGCCAATATTTACCCCGAAATATGGAGCCAGTTTATGGTCCAGGGGAAAATGCCACAGAACTCCAGCTTCCTTTTTACCTAAGCCAACCTCTGATCACTGTGTGTGTTTCCAATGTTTGCTTGTTTATTGGTAAAAGTGTTAGCTTTTAGCTTCAACGCCTCTCACCACCAGCCGGACGGAACACTCTTCTCACAGGAATCGGCCTCAGCTTCTGATCTGTGCTGCTCCCTGCCCCAAGAAGGACCCCTCTGCCCAGTCCGTTCATTTCCCTCCATTTCATTTTCTTGCTCCAGAGGGCAGAGATCACACGCTCTTGGTAAACCCAGCACATCTGTTACTAGTGTGAAACATAAACTGAATCCATGGTGCAGTGGGTCCTGACTTCCACTTGTCTCACGTAGCAGTAAGAACAGCTCAGGCTTTTAAAATTTGTTTTGAGACCCTCAGACATTCCCTGCCTTCTTTTAACATTATTCGCTAATCACGATTTCCTGAAAACTGTGAGATATTCTTAAGAGCTCATCATCTCAACTCATGCATCCTTAGCTGGCAGGTTCCAGGGCATGTGTCATTTCAATAGAAAAGCATCAAACTCCTGCAGCCCCTTCAGACCGCCAAACATTCTCAACAAGGAGCAGTTGATGTCTCTTCCACATGGCAAGAGGAAGTACAACCTTTGGTCAAAGGGCGTCAGATCAGCATTCTTAGGTCAAGAAAATTTCCACACATTAACTCACCTGAAGTGCAGAATCTGCTCTCTAGCCCCTCCACAGTAAGGCGTGCAGACAGCAGGTAAAGATGGGCAGGTTGTGGACGGAGGCCTGTGCTTGCTTTGCATCATCTCCCTAAAGCCATCCCCACTGGAGGGAAGTGTCTGTGCCTCCCCTCCACACACCCCTCACCAGTCATCGGGAAAACACAGAAACACACACTTTGGTTTCCGTGAGAATAGACCAGCACTTCTCAAACTGGTTGGTTTCTATTCAAAAGTGCTGCGCCTTCATATAGTTACAACGTGACCGTGCACTCACTCACGCCTAACAAATCAAACCTGTCTCCAGATGCTAAAGTTGCTGTCAGAAATCAATAGCGCTCTTTCCACTGCAAAGCCTCCGAGGATTCACTGGTGGAAACACCTGCGCAGGGGCATCCAGCCACTGGAGGCACCGCCCCGTCCCGTGCCCACACCGAGCTCGCTCCTATCACTCTTCCCCCTCCCAAGGCCTGTCTGCCCCA